GTGCTGCAGCTCAGTTTCAGGGTCTTGGCAATCTTCTTATAGCCCAGGCCATCTTTATGAAGAGCAACAATTATTTTTTTTCAGATCCTCAGAGAGTTCTTTGCCATGAGGTGCCATGTTGAACTTCCAGTGACCAGTATGAGGGAGTGTGAGAGCGATGACACCAAATGTAACACACCTGCTCCCCATTCACACCTGAGACCTTGTAACACTAATGAGTCACATGACACCGGGGAGGGAAAATGGCTAATTGGGCCCAATTTTGACATTTTCACTTAGGGGTGTACTCACTTTTGTTGCCAGCGGTTTAGACATGAATGGCTGTGTGTTTAGTTATTTTGAGGGGACAGCAAATTTACACTGTTATACAAGCTGTACACTCACTACTTTACATTGTTGCAAAGAGTCATTTCATCAGTGTTGTCACATGAAAAGATATACTCAAATATTTACAAAAATGTGAGGGGTGTACTCACTTTTGTGAGATACTGTGTGTATATATATATATATATATATATACACACATTCATATAATTTAAAAAAATATATTTCCCTTTATTACTTTCCAACCCCACCACCCCTTCCCTAATTGGAGTAAACTAGTGAACAACAATGCTTAGGCCTCTACTTCCAGCTTATACAGTGAGGGAAAAAAGTATTTGATCCCCTGCTGATTTTGTACGTTTGCCCACTGACAAAGAAATGATCAGTCTATAATTTTAATAGTAGGTTTATTTGAACAGTGAGAGACAGAATAACAACAAAAAAATCCAGAAAAACGCATGTCAAAAATGTTATAAATTGATTTGCATTTTAATGAGGGAAATAAGTATTTGACCCCCTCTCAATCAGAAAGATTTCTGGCTCCCAGGTGTCTTTTATACAGGTAACGAGCTGAGATTAGGAGCACACTCTTAAAGGCAGTGCTCCTAATCTCAGTTTGTTATTTGTATAAAAGACACCTGTCCAGAGAAGCAATCAATCAATCAGATTCCAAACTCTCCACCATGGCCAAGACCAAAGAGCTCTCCAAGGATGTCAGGGACAAGATTGTAGACCTACACAAGGCTGGTGTCACGTTCGTCGAGGAGTGAAGGAGACCAAGGCGCAGCGTTGCGTGAACATGATGACTTTAATAAAGAAAGCACGTAACTACAAAACAAAAGACGATAGTGAAGTCCAACAGTGACAAAATACTGAACCTGGAACAAAAACCCACCTTACCCACAGGAAAACATACAGACTAAATATGGCTCCCAATCAGAGATAACGAGCCGACAGCTGACACTCGTTACCTCCGATTGGGAGTCACACGACACCACAATTAACTCACCCAAAACACAACCAACCGAATACACCCTATACAACAAACCCCACAACAAAACCCAACAAAACAAATACACCCTGGCTCAAATACAAAAGTCCCGGAGCCAGAGTGTCACAGCTGGAATGGGCTACAAGACCATCGCCAAGCAGCTTGGTGAGAAGGTGACAACAGTTGGTGCGATTATTCGCAAATGGAAGAAACACAAAATAACTGTCAATCTCCCTCGGCCTGGGGCTCCATGCAAGATCTCACCTTGTGGAGTTGCAATGATCATGAGAACGGTGAGGAATCATCCCAGAACTACACGGGAGGATCTTGTCAATGATCTCAAGGCAGCTGGGACCATAGTCACCAAGAAAACAATTGGTAACACATTACGCCGTGAAGGACTGAAATCCTGCAGCGCCCGCAAGGTCCCCCTGCTCAAGAAAGCACATATACAGGCCCGTCTGAAGTTTGCCAATGAACATCTGAATGATTCAGAGGAGAACTGGGTGAAATTGTTGTGGTCAGATGAGACCAAAATGGAGCTCTTTGGCATCAACTCAACTCGCCGTGTTTGGAGGTGGAGAAATGCTGCCTATGACCCCAAGAACACCATCCCCACCGTCATTTACATTTACATTTAAGTCATTTAGCAGACGCTCTTATCCAGAGCGACTTACAGTTAGTGAATATTTTTTTTACACTGGCCCCCCATGGGAATCGAACCCACAACCCTGGCATTGCAAACGCCATGCTCTATCAACTGAGCTACATCCCTGCCGGCCATTCCCTCCCCTACCCTGGACGGCGCTGGGCCAATTGTGCGCCGCCCATGAGTCTCCCGGTCGCGGCCGGCTGCGACAGAGCCTGGATTCGAACCAGGATCAATAGTGGCACAGTTAGCACTGCGATGCAGTGCCTTAGACCACTGCACCACTCAGGAGTACAAGGCCGTCAAACATGGAGGTGGAAACATTATGCTTTGGGGGTGTTTTTCTGCTAAGGGGACAGGACAACTTCACCGCATCAAAGGGACGATGGACGGGGCCATGTACCGTCAAATCTTGGGTGAGAACCTCCTTCCCTCAGCCAGGGCATTGAAAATGGGTCGTGGATGGGTATTCCAGCATGACAATGACCCAAAACACACGGCCAAGGCGACAAAGGAGTGGCTCAAGAAGAAGCACATTAAGGTCCTGGAGTGGCCTAGCCAGTCTCCAGACCTTAATCCCATAGAAAATCTGTGGAGGGAGCTGAAGGTTCGAGTTGCCAAACGTCAGCCTCGAAACCTTAATGACTTGGAGAAGATCTGCAAAGAAGAGTGGGACAAAATCTCTCCTGAGATGTGTGCAAACCTGGTGGCCAACTACAAGAAACGTCTGACCTCTGTGATTGCCAACAAGGGTTTTGCCACCAAGTACTAAGTCATGTTTTGCAGAGGGGTCAAATTCCCTCATTAAAATGCAAATCAATTTATAACATTTTTGACATGTGTTTTTCTGGATTTTCTTTTTTGTTATTCTGTTTCTCGCTGTTCAAATAAACCTACCATTAAAATTATAGACTGATCGTTTCTTTGTCAGTGGGCAAACATACAAAATCAGCAGGTGATCAAATACTTTTTTCCCTTACTGTACATACTATAAACATTTTATTGACACAGTCAATTTTACAATAATTCTATTTTGTTCGTTTTTTCTCCTGAACTTCCTCAACCTCTCCGATCATTTTCATGATGTCAATCCGGTTTGCTTCTATATGCCATATCTTTCTAACTGTGCTCTTTCACAAAAGCTCTCAACCTATAACCTATATACGTATTTTGGACACAGTATGCTTTACATTAGTTATCTTGTTGTTATTAGTTGTTGTTATTAGTCCCATCTTTCAACTCCATTCAACACCACCCATCTATCTCTTAACACCATCCATATTGGATTTCTATTTGCCATATATTTTTCAACTGTGATGTTTTACAAAAGTTCTGATTATTTCTATTCCCATTGTTTCTACAGATTGTAAATTGAAAATAAACATTTTTGCCAAAAGTATTATTATATTATTGATCGATTAACTATTACTTTTCAGATCACCCAGTAATGCTATCTGCAGGGTTAGCTCCAGGTAAATATTGCAATTATTTAGCCATTCCTGGACCTGTGTCCAAAAACAAGCTACAAATGGACAGTACCAAAACAAATGATCTAATGATTCTGTCTCTTCGCAGCAAAATCTGCAGAGCTGGGATTTATAAACATAAATATAAAAAACATTCTATTGGTAGCAAGAATTTTATATAATCATTTAAATCAAAAAATTCTATGTTTTGAATCCGGCGTCGTTTTGCGTATCAGTTCATAAACACTATGCCATGGGATCGGTACGTCAAAAATCTCTTCCCAACTATTTTGCAATCTATATGGGACGGCTGTCAATCCTTTGGTCCTTAAATGAAACTGGTATACTTTTTTATTTATCACAGTTTTCTTTAACCAATTATGTTTTTTAATGCAAGGCCGACAGACAAGTTCCTTACTTTTTCCCCCTTCCGCTTTCCTCTTCCATTTTTGCGGAAATGCTGCAATTATTTGGTTGTAATTTTGGGTAGAGCAGACTTAGCTAGATCCATGTCCCACCTCCCCCCCACCACCTCATGTGACTGCTAGACTCCTTGGGCTGAGACAATAGGTTCCTGTTGTGGGCTGAATGTGGCCTTGGAGCCAAGTTTTGGTAACGGCCGAGATTAGAGGGCTGTTGGATTGATCCAGCATCGCCATCAAACGTTAAGCAGTGCAGATGTAGTCTGTCTTTACAGGCGTATTCCCCATTGGACGCTCCTGCGCCAGCACACTGTTTCATCAACCAGCCCTCCACTCAGGTTAGAGGTGACCAGCCAATCACACGGAGGGAAATGAGTAGCCTTCTACTTCGTCTTCTGGCAGGGCACCGACCCTTTGTTCTGAGCTGTTTGGAGCCTTTTGTCTTTGGTTCACTTCCCCTCTCCTCCTCTTCCTCTCCTCCGTTTCCTTCTCCTCCTCTTCCTCCTCCTCTTCCTCCGTCTCCATTCAGCCTGGGTCCTGTCTGGACCACCAGGTTTAGTTTATTTGTAATGTGAGAAGACCCCCAGGCTTCAGGGGCCCGTTGGAGGAGCCATGTGGAAACTTAGAGGGATACTTCAGGATTTTGGCAATGAGCCCTTTATCTAATTTTGAACTCATGGATGACATTTTTATGTCTCTGCGTGCAGTTTGAAGGAAGTTGCTAACTAGCGCTAACCTAATTGCTAACTAGCGTTAGCAGAATGACTGGAAGTCTATGGGTTTCACTGTGCTAACGCTAGTTAGCATTGGCTCACAAAACTACCTCTAACTTCCTTCATAATGGACACAGAGACATCAGCACATCCTTTTCATACCCCAAAAACCTGCCAAATAAAACTTCTCTGACAACTCAATCTTTATTAGATTTTCCCCTTGTGTGCATACAGTATTGAAATGAAATTCTCATTATGTCTACACATTTGTTATCTTACCATTTTTCCAACCAATGTAGATTATACCTAATCAAAGACATTGTATGTACACTTCGTTTTGTATAAAGGACCTTATGTTTCTCATAACTTAAAAAAACAAATGTTGAACTGAGAGTCAGTTGGAATTCTTTTTCAAATGTAGCGTTATCAAATGTAGCGTTATCAAATGTAGCGTTATCGGTTAGAAGGACAAAATGCCAATTGTGCTTTCTGTCAAGGACTGAGACAGCAATGCATCATATGAAAGCAAGAGAAAAACAGCAGAAACCCACAACCTGCAGAAACCTAGCAAACCTACAATGACTGAATGCTATTTTATAAACAATGTTTTTCTCAAGGGCATTGTAAGGGAACATAGTGACCATTTTATCAACACGCTAGTTGTTAAGACAGGGGTGTGACTTGTATAATGATGATGTCACAACTTAAACATACTGTCTTTAACAAAAACAAAGTTGAAAAAATATATATTCTCCTTGATCAAATATTAAACTACCCTTGAGATGCCAAAAAACAACAATGCAGTCAAAAATGTGGGAAAAAATGTAATGTACACCAAAACAGTAGAATCATTGAATTGTATCCCTGTAGACACCTTCACCATTTTGAGTTGCAAAAGAGGATTAAGGAACTTAAGGAACGTAAGTTTTTTAAATGCTGTTTGTTGTCATGACTGCAGGAGGACCTGTTTTCTGTGGGATTCACCATGATGGGACTGCAATGAAAAGAGATGGAATTAAGTGAAAACAAATATTCAATGTACAGGATACCTCTCCTCTCATAGTAAGTACAAATCAATGGATATGGCTTTAGTTACCTATCAAACTGTCTGATTCCATCCACAGCATCCTGTGGGCTCAACCCACAGGGCTAAGATTGGGCTGCCAGGGCATCAGCGCCTGTAATCCAAATGAGATATACAGTACATGGAAATAAATAGAATCTGACCGCATCATACAGTACAATGGATTACCTCCATCTCTCTCTATGTCAGAGAGCGACAGACGGTTTAAATACGTCTGTAACGGATATAAAATGTACGCAAGTAAAATGTCTGCACACATGACTGTAAGTCAAATCAAATCAAATGTTATTTGTCACATGCGCCGAATACAACAGGTGTAGACCTTACCGTGAAATGCTTACTTACAAGCCCTTAACCAATAATGCAGTTACTGAGTCAATGTGCAGGGGTACAGGTTAGACTAGGTAATTGAAGTCGCTTTGGAAAATAAGTGTCTGCTAAATTGCATATATTATTATGATATGTGCTGACGTGACATGGTGTGTCACAGTGTTCTGCTGACATTACCCTGGGAGGCACCCTGTGTCATGTCCTCCTGTTGGTCTGGATGGTCCAAAACATCAGCAGGAACAGCTGAGGGAGAAAAGGATGTTCATTCCAATCCACACTGTTCCCAGTGAAGCTCTGTTATGTGTTCCCAGTATGCTGGTTTATATTTTTTTTTAACTTTCTGTCGTGTTGTTCTCTTCCTCATACTTGTCATTGTACCTCATGTATTTGGAAAAATTAGTCAGATAACTCCCTGCACAGTGCTAAGAGTGTGTGTGTGTTTGTGTGTGTGTGTGTGTGTGCATAGTGTTGTGAGCTATTATCTCTGTTCAAACAAACAGACATCTGATCAGAAAGATCACAAGGAAAAAATAGGTGTTTACTTTATGGTACGTTGACTGGTGCACACAAATGTACTGTTTCTTCCCCTGGTCGAGGAAGCCTTAGAATGGTTGGGCCTTTCATTGGTAACTACCCCAAGAAGTAAGTCAGTTTTGGGCCTTACCTTCTGAATCTGGAGCCATTGATTCTGGCCCATCCATCTCATCATCATCCATATCGTCATCTGAGGAAAGAAACACGAAACAGCCTTTATTTTACTATTTCAATTACTCAAATGTCAACATTTGTTTGTATGGCTTTGACTCTGAAGCAAACCTTTCGCCATGGACTCTGACGCATCCTCGGAATCCTCATAGGTCTCATCCTCATCTAAAGACCAGATTAATATATATGATGTTGAGCCACAATAATGAATTAGAAGGTTACAACAGCTAAAGACCAAGCCATTTGAAAGCCCAGGTGATATGATTCAGGATCAGAGGAAACAAACCTTTGTGTGAATCTGCGCCTGGCTCTGCATCAGATTCAGACGTGTCATCCTCTGGAGTTTATGAAAAGAAAATGTGCATAACATCAATAAATAGTATGAAATGATGGAACGTTTGATATAAACGACTCCAGTCTCTTTGATTCAGTACTGCGTGTATTAGCTGATACACAAGCAAGGGGATCAAATGACACGCAAGATAGAGAGACATACCAGAGGCATCCTTGTCCATGTCATCTTCGTCAGCATCGTCAGAATCTGTTTCAGAAAGCAGTGTTTCAGTTACCACAAAATGATACCATTACCACTCACAATGTAATACTTAGTGCCATGGCATTTTACAGGGAATCGCATATGTACTTTTTATTATAAGCAGTTGTTCCGGCCCCGTTACTTGGCCTAATTATTAGCTACATTTCTATGGTTTTGTAGTGGTAACCGCACCTTCGGGCTCCTTCATTTTGCTATCATCAGTGTCCTCTGGCTGGGCTTCAGTGTCCTCTTCACTTTCATCCTCTTGTGGTTTAGGGGCATCACTGGTCCCAAAGTCCTCCTCGCTGTTAGAGTCTGCTTCAGCCTCAGTCTCATCCTCACTCTCATCCTCACTGTCATCCTTACTCTCATCCTCACTGTCATCCTTACTCTCCTCCTCACTGTCATCCTTACTCTCATCCTCACTGTCATCCTTACTCTCCTCCTTACTGTCGGCCTCTGTTGTTTCTAGGTTCCTCTCCGCATTCAGCTCCCCCTCCTCCTTTGACTCCAGCTCCTGTGGAGGCTCAAAGTCTTGACTCCCTACAGGGCTTCCCTCCTCGATGCTGTCTTCAGGGCTGGCCTGCTGTTTCCCCACGTCACCTCCCTCCTTCATGTCCATTTCCTGCTGCTCTGGTTCCTCCTCCGAGACCTGGGCTTCCGCTTCACTGCTGTCTTTGCTGTCGTCTGAGCTGCTGTCTTTGCTGTCATCTTTGCTGCTGTCGTCTGAGCTGCTGTCTTTGCTGTCGTCTGAGCTGCTGTCTTTGCTGTCTTTGCTGTCATCTGAGCTGCTGTCTTTGCTGTCGTCTGAGCTGCTGTCTTTGCTGTCATCTGAGCTGCTGTCTTTGCGGTCATCTGAGCTGCTGTCTTTGCTGTCATCTGAGCTGCTGTCTTTGCTGTCATCTGAGCTGCTGTCTTTGCGGTCATCTGAGCTGCTGTCTTTACTGTCGTCTGAGCTGCTGTCTTTACTGTCGTCTTTGTCTGGCTTGTCGTTTTCTTCTGAGGTGTCCTGTTGGCTCTCGCTGTCCTTTTCTTCTATTTCCTGCTGCTCTGGTTCCTCCTCCGGGACCCGGGCCTCTTCTTTGCTGTCGTCTTCGCTGCTGTCTTTGCTGTCATCTTCGCTGCTGTCTTTGCTGTCATCTTCGCTGCTGTCTTTGCTGTCGTCTTCGCTGCTGTCTTTGCTGTCGTCTTCGCTGCTGTCTTTGCTGTCGTCTTCGCTGCTGTCTTTGCTGTTGTCTGTGCTATCTTTCTTGTCGTCTTTGTCTGGCTTGTCATCCTCAGTGTCTGAGTCTGCGTCATCTTGTTTGCTGTCGCTGTCCGCCGCTTCCTCTGTCTCTGTATCTTCTGCACTGTCTTTCTCCTCTGCAGGGGCCTTACCATGTAGTTCAATGTCCTTATCCTCATCACTGTCATCTTTGTCTGTGGCAGCATCTGCAGAAAAGTGACAGTGTTTAGACATCCTGGTAATGAATTATTATGGTATATGACGTAGAATATGTAGTTCTGAACCAAGTGAGAACAAGAGAGGTCATAGTACTGAGCCCTGGGGGACACCAGTAGAGAGAACAATAGAGGTTATAGTACTGAGCCCTGGGGGACACCAGTAGAGAGAACAAGAGAGGTTGTAGTACTGAACCCTGGGTGAAACCAGTATAGAGAACAAGGGAGGTCATAGTACTGAGCCCTGGGGGACACCAGTAGAGAGAACAAGAGAGGTCGTAGTACTGAGCCCTGGGGGACACCAGTAGAGAGAACAAGGGAGGTCGTAGTACTGAGCCCTGGGTGACACCAGTAGAGAGAACAAGGGAGGTCGTAGTACTGAGCCCTGGGGGACACCAGTAGAGAGAACAAGGGAGGTCGTAGTACTGAGCCCTGGGGGACACCAGTAGAGAGAACAAGGGAGGTTGTAGTACTGAGCCCTGGGGGACACCAGTAGAGAGAAGAAGGGAGGTCGTACTACTGAGCCCTGGGTGACACCAGTAGAGAGAACAAGGGAGGTCGTAGTACTGAGCCCTGGGGGACACCAGTAGAGAGAACAAGGGAGGTCGTAGTACTGAGCCCTGGGGGACACCAGTAGTGAGAACAAGGGAGGTCGTAGTACTGAGCCCTGGGGGACACCAGTAGAGAGAACAAGGGAGGTCGTTGTACTGAGCCCTGGGGGACACCAGTATAGAGAACAAGGGAGGTCGTAGTACTGAGCCCTGGGGGACACCAGTAGAGAGAACAAGGGAGGTCGTAGTACTGAGCCCTGGGGGACACCAGTAGAGAGAACAAGAGAGGTCGTAGTACTGTGCCCTGGGGGACACCAGAAGAGAGAACAAGGGAGGTTGTAGTACTGAGCCCTGGGGGACACCAGTAGAGAGAACAAGGGAGGTCGTAGTACTGAGCCCTGGGGGACACCAGTAGAGAGAACAAGGGATGTCATAGTACTGAGCCCTGGGTGACACCAGTAGAGAGAACAAGAGAGGTTGTAGTACTGAGCCCTGGGGGACACCAGTAGAGAGACCTTCCCCATCATGACCTTTTGTTGGTGAGAGACACGCAACCTTGAATGAGCAGACTCACCTGCAGAGTCGTTATCTAATGTTTCTTCTTCAAGTTTCCCAGACAATTAATATCCAGTTCAGAAGTTTCAATGAAACACACCTGAGTCACTCTTGTCATCATCTTTGTCTGTCTCTGTGGCCTCATCCATGTCATCGCTGGTCACGTCTACAATCACACATGATTTATGTTATCAAACCGTCGTAACCTATTATTTGATGTCTTTGAATTGCCAATGAACCTGTCTAGTACAACATTGCAATGAAAACCTTGATGTTGTTCTTCACCTTGAAAAGAAACACAAAGTTAGTTGTGTGTTTTATTATGAGTACCTAATCATGTTGTCATTAGACAGGGTCATGTATTGTCTACTTATCAATGCTTTGAGGGGAGGATATACAGTATTAATGGCGGTATTTACAGAATCGTCCCTGTCCCAGACCTATTCCTCTGTGACGATCTAGTTCTTCACTACCAAACAAAGGAACTTTTTTACTGGCAGCACTTCCTATTGAAAGTACTGTGAAGATAACTGTGTTTTGCCTTCCTCTGCAAGCAGTTCACTTTTTTTTTTGTCATTTAGCAGACGCTCTTATCCAGAGCGACTTACAGTTAGTGAGTGCATACCTTTATTTTTTTTATTTTTTTCATACCCCCCGTGGGAATCGAACCCAGAACCCTGGCGTTGCAAACGCCATGCTCTACCAACTGCGCTACATCCCTCCCCTACCCTGGACGACGCTGGGCCAATTGTGCACTGCCCCATGGCTCTCCCGGTTGTGGCCGGCTACGACAGAGCCTGGATTCGAACGAGGATCTCTAGTGGCACAGCTAGCACTGCGATGCAGTGCCTTAGACCACTGCGCCACTCGGGAGATACCGAGTGAGATACCGCAGTTCACCTGCCTCATGTTATGATGAGTGTATGTCAGAATCCAAGTATTTATTTTTGTAGTTACAGAATCCAAGTATTTTGTCCCTTACCTTCAGAGGCATCATCTGACTCTGTTTCATCTTTATCGTAATCTAATGCAGTTTCCCAACTCCAGTCCTCCAGTACCCCCAACAGCACCCAATTTTGTTGTAGCCCCAGACAAGCACACCTGATTCAACGTGTCAACTAATCATCAAGACCTCAATGAGTTGAATCAATGTGTGCTGTTGGGGGTACTGATCTGATGGACAAAGGAAAATAGTCTTAGACGTGTATCTCCAACTTTAATGTTGTGCACTTTTCCACGTTATACTGTCCTCATACCTTTGGCATCTTTTTCATCTGTCTTTATCTTCACCAGCAGCAATGTACTTTAATGTACATATTTTGGGGGTTGGAATCAGTCTGTTTTTAACACTTACCTGTGGAGTCACGTTCTGGAGACTCTGTGGAGTCACTTTCTGGAGACTCTGTGGAGTCACGTTCTGGAGACTCTGTGGAGTCACTTTCTGGAGACTCTGTGGAGTCATGTTCTGGAGACTCTGTGGAGTCACTTTCTGGAGACTCTGTGGAGTCACGTTCTGGAGACTCTGTGGAGTCACTTTCTGGAGACTCTGTGGAGTCACGTTCTGGAGACTCTGTGGAGTCACTTTCTGGAGACTCTGTGGAGTCACGTTCTGGAGACTCTGTGGAGTCACGTTCTGAAGACTCTGTGGTGTCACGTTCTGGAGACTCTGTGGAGTCACTTTCTGGAGACTTATTCACATCTGCTGATTCTGAAATCATAATTTAAAGCAACATGGATGTATTATATATCAATTTGTAAGTCGCTCTGGATAAGAGCGTCTGCTAAATGACGTAAATGTAAATGTAAATAAGTCTGCCTGTTGATGTTTATAGCAATGTGTGTTACACTGACGGTGTTTGTTACAGTGATAATGATAGTATGTTCTGATGATCTGTGAAGTCAGAGCTTGGTTATTGCGCAAGGAATTCAGAGAGAAAAGTGTTTTCCCCAAAACATCTGATGACACCCCTGCTGATGCCTTCTCACTGTCATCAGCATCATCTGTATCTGTGCTGAAGAGAGACTAAAAGACTGAAAAGTCAAACAATTGATGGGTGTTTTCTAACGGGCCCATGTGTTAATGTGGTCGTTTTAGGGCTGCATCCCAAATGCCATCTGTTGATTGACAATTGTAAAGTCAAAAATTATAATTCACATCGATGAATGGTTTGAAGGTTTAGCCTCAGTGGTTGTGAAGACTGCTGTTGCTTTATGTGCTGCAATGTGTGCCCTCACCTTTTCTATTAGAAGAGTCAAAGGTCACTGCCAAAGTCTCAGAGGCATCTGAAAAACAGATAATGTTTGATTATATACTGAATATACTGACAGTCATCATTTTCAAGTTTCAAGTTTTATTAGTCGTATGTACGGGACTATACACATGGTATGCACTGTCCAATTAGATGCTTACTTGCAGGTTCCTTCTCTACAATGCAACAACAACAAGAAATAATCAAATATAAGAATATGAACATAAAGTAACTGGCTCAGTAGAATAGAATAGATATTTTAGCATAGAATGCCTTCAGAAGGTATTCACATCCCTTTACTTTTTCCACATTTTGTTGTGTTACAGCCTGAATTTAAAATGGATTAAATTGAGATTTTGTGTCACTGATCTACACACAATACCCCATAATGTCAAAGTTGAATTGTATTTGTAGAAAAATGTCTAAATGAATAAAAAATGTAAAGCTGAAATGTCTTGAGTCAATAAGTATTCAACCCCTTTGTTATGGCAAGCCTAAATAAGTTCAGGAGTAGAAATGTGCTTAACATATCGCAAAATAAGTGGCATGGACTCATTCCGTGTTCAATAATAGTGGTTAACATGATTTTGAATGAATACCCCATCTCTGTATCCCACACATACAAGCATCTGTAAGGTCCCTCAATCGAGTAGTGAATTTCAAACACAGATTCAACCACAAAGACCAGGGAGGTTTCACAATGCCTCGCAAAAAAATGGCACAGATTGGTATTCGTAAAAAATAAAAATAAAGCAGACACTGAATACCCCTTTGAGCATGGCGAAGTTATTAATTACACTTTGGATGGTGTACTAAAACATACGCAGTCACTACAAAGATACAGGCGTCCTTACTAACTCAGTTGCCGGAGAGGAAGGAAACCACTCAGGGATTTCACCATGAGGCCAATGGTGATTTTAAAACAGTTACAGGGTTTAATGGTTGTGATATGAGAAAACTGAGGATGGTTCAACAACATTGTAGTTACGCCACAATACTAACCTAAATATTGTACAATTCAGGTGTGCAAAGCTCTTAGAGACTTATCCAAAAAGACTCACAGGTGTAATCACCGCACTTCTATAAAGTATTGACTCAGGCGTGCGAATACTTATGTAAATTAGATATTTGTGTATTTCATTTTCAATATATTTACAAACGTTTCTAAAAACATGTTTTCACTTTGTCATTATGGGGTGTTGTGTGTAGATGGGTGATATGTTTTATTTATTTAATCCATTTTGAATTCAGGCTGTAACACAACAACATTTGGAATAAGTCAAGGGGTATGAATACTTTCTGAAGGCACTGTAAGTATCATACAGAAAGGCACCATTTATAGTACAATATTTACACATGTATCAGGGAAGGGGGAATTGGAGGTCCAAGTGTCACCTTTTAACCCACCTCCACCCACATGACCTTAGCCATTTGGACTCTGTGTGTAGCTAGTAATGTAACAGCATTTCTGTATCATTATATTACTATGTCTGATGATAACTACCAGTTTGTATGATGTATGATAACTCTAGAAGAATTTGTGTTTCACTTTGTATCTTTGTTTTGACTAAAGTAATTGTTGTGCTCAGCTGTGCTTAATCTTTCTAAGGCTAAACGTAATTGTTGTACACAAAAGAACGAGGCAGCTGTGGCCTTGGGTGGCGAGAACATCTCTCAAAACGTATCGCTTCACTCACCAGCTGCATCCGTTGTGTCTTGGCTGGCTGCTGCTTCAGCTGCATCTTAACATAACCACATTAATGTTATTGGAGGGCTGGAAAATAATGTATAGTTTCTTACCTTGTTATTGAACATGAATACACAACTATACAGCATTTCGGCCATCTTACTTGCTGCTGATTTGAACGGCGACTAAAATGTTTATTATATATTTTTTTGGACAATGGATGTGAGGCCAAAGTATGTCTCTCCCCACAGCTTTGTCCAATTCGGAGTGACTTGAAAGTGGACATGCAGATGCAGTATATATATTTTTGTGCACTTCACGGCACAGAACAGCACGTCACAGCATGCCACACTTGCCTGGGAAAAGAATATCTTACTGCACTGAATTGAAATAACAAATCCTCATCATCACCAGGGACTTTCACAGATTTTGACCAGCAGGTTAGCATTTTTCTTGTTCTGCAGAATCTTGTTTAGCAGAATCTTGTTCTGGAGGCAGCTCTGCAGAATGGTCACTAGCTGGCACAGCAACAAAGTCATAAAATCTGATTTTAAATCTAACCCTAACCTTAACCATAATGAAAACCCTAATGCCTAACCCTAACCTTAAATTAAGACCAACATTTTAGTTTTCATGAATTTTTACAATATAGCCAATTATGACTTTGCAGCTGGCATATCTATGGGGAAATTGCTCAGTTCTGCCTCCAGGACAAGACTCATGACAATAAACGTCAACCTGCACATTCTTATCGAATGATTGCGATCTTTGACCTTAACCCTTATCTTTGACCTTTGACCTTTGTGTATTTTACTCCTAGGCCTCACCTGTGGCATCAGGGGCATCAGGACTGCCTGTGGTTTCCACGCTGGTATCTCCATCTGGAAGACAAAAACGGGTGAGTTTGATGCTGCCACAACTGTAATTATCAGGAAATCCCCAGTAGTCAGTGTGTTTCATTTCCATTCAAATGAATTGGTGACTCACTGTTTGTGTCTGTGGATGCATCACTGCTTCTGGCATCTGATAAATGAAGAACAAAACATTGGGTGAGTTGGAATTAGATGTCTGGCCATTGAACTTGTTTTAGCCATGAATATTCAGTAATAAAATTGATCTGGACAAGATCACTGTTACATATTTTTTTTTCTTGGTAAATGGTTTTATGGCATAACGAGATTTGGGGAATTGGGGAACCTGGTTTTTGGCAAGCCATGATATACCTTTGGCTTGGATTTGAGACCCCTTTGATTTATTCTGTTAACTGTCAGTGTGATCTGTTGTAATTCCTTTTTATCTGTAGTCTACAGATTGAGGGGATTTCATCAACTCTATGTCAACTACTCTGCCACAATCTGATCATCCCCCAGTAAAGCCATCATTAGTCAAACATAGATAGTTGAACATTTGCCCATTTCCCACATTGATTCCTTACTGTTCGGGCTTCGACAAGTACAAGGTAACGAGAAAGAGAGACTGCGCAGCACTGCTTTTCTATCTACGTTAGCTGTTGACAGCGCGTGTAGTTGTCAGCATGCTAACCTGGTTAGCTAGCTAGATTTGTTTGATGCTTACACATCATTTTTTCGAGTGCCAATATGGTTGGGTTCATATTGTAACTGGTATAGACAAACTGGTTGTGTTTTATTTGATCTGACATATAAGCGACCTGTCAACACTGCCTAACATAATATTAGCTAACCAGCTAGTAACTAGCTGCGTTAGTTGTGTGAATTCGAAAGCGCCCGCTTCAGCCCGGTGCAGAACATGCTGGCTAGCCTCGCATGCTGATTGGCTAAGGCTCATGCACAGCTAAGTACTGGCAGGCAGGAGGAATCAGTCTCTGTCTATTACAAAAATTGAATAGCACCGATGAGTTGATGGACCCTTGGTAGAGAGGAGAGTGATAATTGATAACTCCTGAAGGTCAAACGGTTGGTCATGCAAAAATATCTAAACCTTCAGCATGGCCCCACAGCAAATAGTCAGACTCTGTGACATGTTGAGGTAGGACCCAGGAGCAGAGAAGAGAACCAGACGAGGAACCAGGGGTTTAGGAAAAAATTTAAATACTTTACTGGGAAAACGTTCAACAGAAAGTACAAAGTAAAACTGGGAAAACAACAAACACTAAGACTCGATAACTTTTTCCTTTTTACGCTGCTGCTACTCTGTTAAGTATTTATGCATAGTCACTATAACTCTACCCACATGTACATATTACCTCAACTACCTCAACTAGCCGGTGCCCCCGCACATTGACTCTGCAACGGTACCCCCCTGCATATATAGCCTCCCTACTGTCACTTTATTTTACTGTATATATAGCCTCCCTACTGTCACTTTATTTTACTTCTGCTCTTTTTTTCTCAACACTTTTTTTGTTGTTGTTTTATTCTTACTTTTTTTGTTTAAAATAAATGCACTGTTGGTTAAGGGCTGTAAGTAAGCATTTCACTGTAATGTCTGCACCTGTTGTATTCGGCGCATGTGACCAATAAAATTTGATTTGATTTGATTTTGATTTGATTTAACTACTCAGGAGACAACGCACACGGCAAACAAATCAAGCTTCTGCAAAGGGGTAACAGAAAACACACCTCTTTTAAAAGGGAATCATAATTAGTAACAGAAAACACCTGAGTGTCATAATAGTCTCTAGGGCGGTCTCTGCGGCCCTCTGGTGACAGGTGGAACCATGACAATTTACTCATGTCTGGTCCAGAAAGCATTTGTCCAGCTATGTTTCAGAGGTGCTGTTGTTATAGTGTATTCATACATGTTTATGTGAGTATAGAGGAACTGTAATGTTGGATTCTCACATAAACATGTATGAATACACTATAACAACAGCACCCCTGAAACATAGCTAGACAAATGCTTTCTAGTTAAGTGTCTCCATGATAGTCTCATAGCAGGCCTATTTTGTCTGCTTACTAATTATGTGCTCTAATTTGGATAATTGTGGCTAATCAATTAGGTGTGCGTTTTTTTTACATTATACTCTGAGCTGCTCAACATGGGTTGTCTTTTTGAAGTGAACACACACTCACACACACACACACACACACACACACACACTGACCTGGTGCGTCTGTGGTATCAGCTGAGGAATCAACTGCACCTAAAAACAAATCAGCGTCATGATCAACAGCTCAGTTTTCATTCTCTCGTGTTGATTTCTTTGAGAGTTGAGTTGGTTCTACGTCATACACTCATCATACACTTCTTCCTTGATGGAAAGACAGATTCCCCCAGTCCCCAAACCCAGCCACTCATACCTCCAGCCAGCTCTTTACTAGAGTCAGTCCCATCTGTGGTCCCTGTGAACAACAGAGGATTTCTGTTCAGTTTCCGTCTGTATGAAATGGTACATACCTGGTGTGTTTAAGTAGAAATTAGGTAGGAGATACATTGGAGTCAGTACAAACCTGCAGAGTGTACAGCTGCTGCTGCAACAACTGGGCTGCCAGTGGGGCCACTGCCATCTTTGGCACCTGAGACCAAAAAAGTATCATAGCACCCAATTTTGTCAGTTGCCAATGATCACCCAGCTAAGCCAATGCCAAACTATAAAACGCAATATCTTAATGTATCCAATCATGCAACGCTCTAATGGTTTGATTTTAGCAGTGTTGATGTTTCAGTCCAGTGTTTTGAAAATGAATGTAAATGAAATCAGAGGACAAAGCACATATCGGAAGCGATCCATATGTAACCTATGTGTGTAGGCTTCGACTGGAGTGTTTGTCAGTGTGCTTCCCATTAAGGTACTTGAGCAAGGCAGCACAATGAATGGTGTCATTGTTCCATCATAAACAGTACTTCTGACTAAATGCAAATACATTCATGTGTATACGCTACTTATAATTAACAAAGCTTATTAGCCTGTAATTTCCTAACTGTTGTGGTAATTATGAACGTCATGATAAAACACAAATTACACGTTACCTTCATTGTCTGCCTCTGTTCCATCTGCAAAGGAAAGATGCATAGGGGAGCATGATTAGTGGTTTGGGGATTTATCTCCATTTGAATACACCATACGTAAGGCCCACTCCACCCTACTTCTCTCTCTACCCCACATCAGGCACAGGAGAACAGACCTCTTTTGTGTCTCCACAGAGAGACCTGGGTTCTGATTACACTGCCGTTGTGGAGAAGCAGAGGATTCCCATTGTGATTCAATGGGATGGATGGAGGTTGCTGTATACATTGCAAATGCCTCCTTAAACATTATGTAATGGTCAATTTGGTTGATTATATTTGTTCACTTGATGTTTGTTGTGTAGCTTAGAGTAGCTTACAGACTGGATAACTGGAAAGGTGAAGCATGTTTTGTAATTGCGTTGAACCTGAAATCAAACTAAAATGGAAACCATCGTCTCTAGACAACATCTTGTGCACCTATTATTAAAATTGACATTATTATTAAACTGTAGTTACTGATGGAAGTATTTTAAATTCACCCACATTTATATGATTTATAAGAAGGTTTAATTTCATGTTTTCTTACCAGTAACAGGGGCTGAGAGAGCAAGACCAACCAAAGCAAAGATCAAAGGAACAGTCAACGTTCTGTTAGAATAAAGAACACAGAGATAGAACTGGTTGCTACACTTTTAAAACAATCATTTAGTAAAACAGATATAACGACTTCTCCTAGAAGCCATATTAGGGTCATAGTGGCAGTGGAAAATGCAAAAAGGAGTATTTGAATGGAAGCAGGTAGGAGGAAATGTGTTTCCCCTGCTCATAGCATTATAATACATTTGAATATATGTACCTTGCAGCAAGGCAAGGTATTTTATGGATGTTCTTATGTTCAATATATCTTATGGATAATGTTCATGAAACGTCAATCAATGATACGTTGGTACATTATGGACTTTCGTCTTTGTAATATAATGAAAAGTCAAATAAAGGATGATTATGAACTATTTTGACTTTAAAGGTAAAACATATTCTCAAATTCTGACTTCTCAAAAGCTTTTTAAATACTATTTAGAGTTCCATCACATTATCTCGTACCAGTATCATCATTGATATCAGTTGTGATGCTATTCTTATTGGAGTTTAGAAATTAACAAGAAAAAAGGACATCTGGAATAAAAACAAAATGACCCATACATTGCCAAGCTATTGCGATCCCACAGAAAATTCACACAAAAACAATGAATTCCACTGTTCCTCTCTCTCTATCATTAAAATAATCCCAGAAGGTGTAAACGTCTCCAGTTTCCTTCTACAGGTAGACTGACAAATACAAATCCCTCAAGAATACAGCTGTCCAAATATGTAAAACAGATTGTGTCATTTTAAAAGTTCCAGTACACACACGTAAGTGAAAACCAAATACCCAAAACAAGCTACCCTTGTGTTAGTGTTCACTTACCGTGACAGCATTGTGACGGGATGGTTTAGCCAGTGGGGCAACACTCAGGTGTCTCTATAGTTTCCAGTAGGTCTATAGTCTGGCTAGAGGGAGCCCAAGGGGTTTTATACTTTCACCACCCCCTCTGCTCCTAAGGGGGCAGAGCCTGTGAGCCACAGAGTCACACTGACAGAGAACACACTGGAATGTTATTTGGCCTTAAACAGAGAGTAAACAGTAGCAGAATACCTGACCCCTGTGACTGACCCACAATTAAGGAAAGCTTTGACTATGTACAGACTCAGTGAGCATGGCCTTGCTATTGAGAGAGGACCGCTGTAGGCAGACCTGGCTCTCAAGAGAAGACAGGCTATGTGCACACTGCCCACAAAATGAGGTGGAAACTGAGCTGCACATCCTAACCTCCTGCCAAATGTATGACCATATTAGAATGACCTGTTCCCACAAGAAAATGGCAACCAGTGAAGAACAAACACCATTGTAAATACAACCCATATTTATGTTTATTTATTTTATCTTTCGTACTTTGCACATCATTACAACACTGTACATAGCCATAATATGACATTTGAAATGTCTATATTCATTTAAAACTTTTGTGAGTGTAATGTTAACTGTTAATTTCTGATTGTTTATTTCCCTTTTTGCTCATTGTCTATTTCACTTGCTTTGGCAATGTAAACATATGTTTCCCATGCCAATGAAGCCCTTTGAATAGAATTGACAGAGAGACAGAGGTCGTTGCAGAGGAACAGCTAGCATTAAACTCCTTTAAAATGGGGTTGAGAGTGAGGCTCTCACACCTTTGTGTTTCCAAACAGCTCATGTACTAAAGTCCCCTCTGATCTTTAATCAACCCCCATATCTCTCCCTAAAACACACTCAGCCCCTCACACACACCACTCATAGCTTACATACTCACCCCGCCCCCCCTCTCAAAGTACCCACAGATAACACTTTGGTCTGTAGATCGTTTCGTTTATTTATTTATTTATTTGTGTTTGTCAAGTGAGCTGTGATTGGTGTGTTCTTCGGGGGAACATGTGGTCAGGCAGAAAATTGTCTTGGATTAAAACCAAGTGATTTCTCTGCGCTGGTTTCTCCACATAGTAGGCTACTCATAGACAACCTGATTGGAACTTATCCAGTGGTAATGGTATGATGTAGCCAGAAATAAAGTAGGGGTGTTGCAGTGATAGGGCAGCAGGTAGCTTAGTGGTTAAGAGCGTTGTGCCAGTAACCGAAAGGTCGCTGGTTCTAATCCCCGAGCCGACTAGGTGAAAAATCTGTCGATGTGCCCTTCAGCAAGGCACTTAACCCTAATTGCTCCTGTAAGTCGCTCTGGATAAGAGCTTCTGCTAAATGACTAAAATGTAAATGTGATGGAGTGAACAGAGTCCATAGCAGTAGAGGAACAGGCTATTTATGAAGGTTATGGAATGAACACCGACACAGGATTCATCACTTTAACCTAATGTATACCAAACATTAGGAACACCTTCCTAATATTGAGTTGCTACCCCCCTTTTGCCCTCAGAACAGCCTCAATTCGTTGGGGCATGGACTCTACAAGGTGTCGAAAATGTTCCACAGTGATACTGGCCCATGTTGACTCCAATGCTTCCCACAGTTGTGTCAAGTTGGCTGGATCTCCTTAGGGTAGTGGACCATTCTTCATACACATGGGAAACTGTTGAGCATGAAAAACCCAGCAGCGTTGCAGTTCTTGATACAAACCGGTGCACCTGGCACCTACACCACTGCTGTTACAGCCTTATTCTAAAATTGATTAAATAAATAAAAATGTCCTCAGCAATCTACATACAATACCCCATAATGACAAAGTGAAAAGAGGTTTTTAGAAATGTTTGCAAATGTATAACAGATTACAAACTGAAATACCTTATTTACATAAGTATTCAGACCCTTTGCTATGAGACTCGAAATTGAGCTCAGGTGCATCCTGTTTCCATTGATCATCCTTGAGATGTTTCTACAACTTGATTGGAGTCCACCTGTGGTAAATTCAATTGATTGGACATGATTTGGAAAGGCACACACCTGTCTATATAAGGTCCCACAGTTGACAGTGAATGTCAGAGCAAAACCCAAGCCATGAGGTCGAAGGAATTGTCCGTAGAGGTCCAAGAAAGATCTAGGGAAGGGTACCAAAACATTTCTGCTGCATTGAAGGTCCCCAAGAACACAGTGGCCTCAATTATTCTTAAATGGAAGAAGTTTGGAACCACCAAGACTCTTCCTAGAGCTGGCCGCCCGGCCAAACTGAGCAATCGGGGGAGAACCATCTCTGCAGCGCTCCACCAATCAGGCCTTTATGGTAGAGTGGCCAGATGGAAGCCACTCCTCAGTAAAAGGCACATGACAGCCCTCTTGGAGTTTGCCAAAAGGCACCTAAAGACTCAGACCATGAGAAACAAGATTATCTGGTCTGATGAAACCAAGATTGAACTCTTTGGCCTGAATCCCAAGCGTCACGTCTGGAGGAAACCTGGCACCATCCCTACGGTGAAGCATGGTGGTGTCAGCATCATGCTGTGGGGATGTTTTTCAGCGGCAGGGACTGGGAGACTAGTCAGTATCGAGGCAAAGATGAACGGAGCAAAGTACAGAGAGATCCTTGATGAAAACCTGCTCCAGAGCGCTCAGGACCTCAGACTGGGGCGAAAGTTCACCTTCCAACAAGACAACGACCCTAAGCACACAGCCAAGACAACGCAGGAGTGGCTTCGGGACAAGTCTCTGAATGTCCTTGAGTGGGCCCAGCCAGAACCTGATCTAACATCTCTGGAGAGACCTGAAAATAGCTGTGCAGCGACGCTCCTCATCCAACCTGACAGAGCTTGAGAGGATCTGCAGAGAAGAATGGGAGAAACTCCCCAAATACAGGTGTGCCAAGCTTGTAGCGTCATTCCCAAGAAGACTCGAGGCTGTAATCTCTGCCAAAGGTGCTTCAACAAAGTACTTAGTAAAGGGTCTGAATACTTATGTACATTTACATTACATTTTAGTCATTTAGCAGACGCTCTTATCCAGAGCGACTTACAGGAGCAATTAGGGTTAAGTGCCTTGCTC